GCGCTAAATATTTAGTTGAATTAACACTTGGAGGTTTATATGTAACAACAACCGTTACTGAAAGGAGATTATATTATAAAATGTGAGTATTTCTTGTGAACATAAACTGCAAAACCACCTCCAAGCCTATCAGTACGGTCTCTACGATACAATGAATCATTTTCAACTGAAAGAAATGAATTTGGTATAGCAGGAGTCAGCCATGATTCTGATATAGCCATAACATGTGCTTGTGTCTRAGCAAKTATTACTTTGAATTCATCCAGTTTAGGTACAAGACTTCTCATATTTAAACATCACTTCCTGTTGCTTCACATGCAAATATCTCAACAACCGTCTGTCTGAGCATCGTGAAATTTGTTTCATAATATGTTAATGTTGTATTTCCAAAAATGTATTCACATTTCCTTACAAAAAAAATTGATGTCACAGGCACTTTAAGGTTTCATCCACAGTAAATTAGGGTTGAGAACCCACTGTGCGTCCGTTAGAGAATTTCCAGGAATTAAATTGTTTAAAACTGACTAAGAATATTTTTGCTATATTTGACTAAAAAGCAGTTCGATACGGTTAAAAACAATTTGTTTATTAGGAATATTTGAATACTTCAACCAAAAATACTTTGATGTATGAGTTTCTGCCTGTTTTTATTTTTTTGTCCTTTGTGTTTATTGTGAAATTGGTCTTAAATTTAATTTAATTTGGCATTAAAAAGACTTAAATTTAACTTGCCCTAAACTGTAGGAACTCTGTTGATTTGAAAGAGTAAAGTTTTGTTCTTCCTCCTCAGTCTTCGAGGGCGTCCCGCTGGGCCGATCCGGACCACTTCGCCCAGCGGCAGACCTGCATGAACAAGTTCGCCAGCTGGTTCGGCACCATGCCGCTCATCCACTCCCAGATGAGACTGGACCCGGTCCTCTTCAAGGACCAGGTCTCCATCCTCCGCAAAAAGTACAGGGACATCGAGAGGCTCTGACAGGACCGCCGCCCCCTCTGGGGAGACCCCGCGCAGGGGGAGAGGGACTCGGAGGGCCGGAGGAGCCGGACCACAGCGGGATGGACAGGGAGAGACGCTGCTCTGTCTTCCACTCAGCACATTGCCAATGAGCACAGCTCTGCTGCTGCCAGGAGCTGATGCAGGAGGGACGAAAAAAATCTGGATTTAAAGACAAAAAGATGCCAAACCGTACAGTTTGTTCCACAAACACACGGCACACTACTGACAGGAGCTGTGGGGTAGAATATTTTTTTGTACGAGGACGTCCTGCTCTCCGCACACGCGCAGGATGGTGTTCGCGACGGCTAACCTGGCAACCCAACCTACCACGAATACTACCCCCTCCCTCGTCTGCATCAGGACGTAAAACTGGACTCAGAACACAATCCTTTGTTTCCACCAATAAGGTAAAAAAAATTAAAAACAGCAGCGTCCGAGCTGTTAATCCTGAGGTTGTTTTCAGCACCACAAACATGTCGGTTCATTCCTTTACGTGTCRATGTCTTTTCTAACGCTCTGTCTGCTCGCCTTTTATCGCCGAGGTTGAGTTAGAAAAACGTCTCATTTCGTTTCTCATTTCCCCGTTTTATTTCCCTCTGTTTGTGCGCAGAGCCTTGAAAAGTTGGCTCATCCAACCGTAAGCTCGAGCGGAGTCCATTTTTCCTCTTATGAAACGAGCGAAACGAATATTTGTGGCTGAAATGGAGCAGAACCCAAACTTTGTTTCTTTTCCTGCGTGGTCTCTGAGCTCCATCCTTACAGGGGAGACGTCGCGTCGTTTAAATGTTTCCCCTTCAACATATCAGACGACCTCGCAGACTTTAAATTAATGAAACATATTTTGAACATTTCACCTCATAACATCTGCTCACTGCATCCACTTTAAAGGGATAGCTCACATCTTGCACAATGAATATCTTACCTGCTGTAGATAATGTTTTGRACAGACGAGCTCACAGGTTGACCACGATTAAAGAAAACTGCCATGCTAAAATAAATAAATAAATAGTAATTTGTCGGTTTTATATTACAGGTGCAGTTAGCTGTAGCACTTTCAGCGGAAACTATTTTGTCGTCACAGCAAATTTAAAATTTAATCCATTCATACATGTGAAGCTCAAAACAAGAAACTGCTAAATCTGACCACTGATATTACATCAACGACTATAAATATTTATTCTGAACCATTCTCAACAAATTGTGAGATGTTGGCAGATTTCTGTTTGAGGCACTTAGTTTCCCCAAAACAGACAGAAAAACTCCTGAAAGAGTCCGAGCAGGTCCTAACCTAACTAATCTGTATAAASAGCATTTATGAATTGTTTTCTTGATGTAATTATTCAATATGTTAATGATTTATCACAATGTATTGTTCCACTCTTAACGTTAAAAAATAACTTAATCTAATCTTAGGCTGCTGCTGCGATTAAAGCTGTTTTTCACCAGTTATTTATTCACAAATCAACCGTTTCAGTAACTTCACCTGGTTCATCTACGGTAGCTCTACTGGGACAAACTGCACGGAGCAGCAGCTGTAATCTGGTTTAGATTAGACCCTGTGTGAAACGTGACATCCATGTTGGAAGTGCTGTGATTTGTCATCACTGGTGATGAAGTTTACACAAACAGATCATCTACAGCAGGCAGGACTTCACACAGAACCCCAGTGCAGAAATATCTGAATTATCCCTTTAAAGCTCTTGAATTAAAGCTTTTRGTGGCCTTTCTGTCAGCATGTTTCAACGCTGTTATCACTGTAAACTTTTCTTTGTTTTTTTTGTTTTTACAGCCGGTGGAACATCTTTTCCCATCATGTCTTTGTTTTGGACATCATGTTTTTATTTACTCTGGGACTAAAAAACAAACAGAACCGACGTCAGGTCTGCAGAAAAAAAAAAAAACGTTTCACATTCCTGCGTTCGTTAAAAACGGATCCGACTGCGACATCGGGACTAATCCCGTGTCTCTGAGGGGAGCGTCGGTATTTATTCATCTTATTTCCTGCGCGCAGACGCCAGATATCACATCCATCACCCTCGAATGTATTTCTAATTCAGGACTCCCCGAGAGAGTTCTGAGCGYTTCCAGCAGCAGTTCTGTGACTCCTGATGGCTGCAGACAGCACTGATCTAGAATTGGATTGGGCTGCACCATCTTGGCTCTCCACGGGAGTCAAATTATAAAAACCACACCGGCTGACACGAGGAATAACAAGCAGCTGGGTCCCTGGTACCAGATGGGACCGTTTTCAGATCCCCTCCCTCCCGTGTTTTACCGTAATGAGCCTGAGTTTAGCTTACAGAGAACTTTATGCAAGTTATTATCTGGCTCTTCGACGCGGGATGAAAGTTTACCTGAAACGTTCCGGGCCGCGTCGGCGCCGCTGAAAAAAAAAAAACCCTGCCTGCTCTTGATTTGTGCCTTTTTCCTCTCGACAGTTCTGCTGGARGCCACCGGCTCCAGCAGAACCTTTAAACATTTCTGACTACATACACTGGATGAGTTACGGATCCCGTTTCCCCTCGTTTTCATGTTGTGTTTGGACACTGTTGCTGCGGTGACGACGCATGACCACTTCCTGTTTGACGACATATCCGGCCGGTGATTTAAAACAATAAAAACACAAGTCCAGCTGTCCTGATGCCTTTCCTCCCTCCTACCTTGGAATTAAGAGAAGACTTTTATAGAGGCCACAAATGAAATAGATAAATGTCAATTTTGTAAGAATGATTTATAAAAAAATAAACTCATATTTGATTATATTTGGAAGTCTTTGTCTCCTTTGTTATTAGGGACAAATATATATGAAGTCATCTACAACAGGTAAGATACTGTTTGTTACACAGAACAAAGGCAAGCCATTACGTTGTCATTTGGAAGTCTTTGTCTCCTTTGTTATTAGGGACAAATATATATGAAGTCATCTACAWCAGGTAAGATACTGTTTGTTACACAGAACCCCTGCAACAATCCCAGGTCCCCGCCCACTGTAGAAGGCTCTGTGTGCAGTTAGCAAAATATCTCATGAACCAAAAATCTCAGTAAATTATCACCTGATGTTCGTCTRAAACTGATCAACCTTTYAGAGTCAACCCCATTCAAGATGGCCGCCACAGCAAAACACACTTAACCAACACAAAAACAGCTGTAAGTCAGCAACATTGTGCAGCGAACTAAATGTGCAAGATCTAGTTTCAAAGTGTTACCAATAGCTATTAAGGTTAATGCGTCTGTTAGCAAAATATCTCATGATTTCTGATTAACCGAGTCACCACGATTCAAGATGGCCGCCATGGTTAATCAACTCAAACAGCTGATTGTCACACCAAAATTCAAAGACTMCTCACATTGTGACCCACAAATATGTCGCTCTTTCCCCTCGATTTGAGGGACGAGTCCGGTGGACCCGTCTCAGCCCATCCTATCCCAAGATGCATTGTGGGTCGACCAGATTTATTTTTATTTATTTTTTTGCTTGTAAAGACGGTCGAAGTGAGAGACAGGAGTACAGTTTTAAATAAAAATCTGACATAAACATGTTTTTAATATTATTCTTCAGACAGGCTCGTATCGCGGGTCCCTTAGCTCTTCAAGCATTGAAGCTAATTTTTTTTTAATTTATAATAAAATTTTGCYACTTTCATCTATTTTTTGCTTCTGTTTAGCATCACGGTTGTTGGGCGACAGGACGTACAGATTAAAAGCAACAAAGGACCTGACCCACCTAGACAGGTAGGCCGGGTCCTTGTAGGGACGCAGCCACTGTACGGCGTTATGTTTGTGCCATCAGCTCGACCGCGCAGTAACACTGATTTGAGAGCTGATATCAATAAGAACAAACAATAATTTGAACCGTGTGCGTTCAAATCACACACACACACACACAGCTCCCTCCTCTCAACTTCCCCTCTGCTCGCTCACAGCTCTGTCTCTGCGCTCGCAACCCGAGTTGTGTGTAAATAAACCACATTGTCGGCCAATCACAGACAGGATTTTTTTCATCCAATCAAAGCACTTGTTGCAAATCTACCAAACCAAGAAGTGACAAAATCTTAGATGCAGGCCCATTAAATCAGCAAAAGATGAGATATATTTTAAATATTTTGTAGCCCAGAATATTTAGTTGAGCATACAAATTTGTTTACAGTGATTGTGTATTTTTAGGCAATGCATCTCTGTAACCCAGGTAGAAAAAAACACAAGTTTAACTTAACTTTTTAAATTATTAT